TATATCTTGCAGGTTTCTACAACTAGTATAATCCTGTTGATTTTTTCTGCGTTGTCGGTTGAGTATATATATTAGTTTAATTGTTTCGCTTCTTTGATACAGGTGGTTAGGGGCCCTTGATCTCGCAAGCTGAGGGTAGTGGGTTCGAATCCCTGTCCCACCGAACATGCTCGCTCTTTCAGCTGTGGGGGCGTTTGTAACTGTCAATCCCACTATTCGTTGGTAAAAGAATAGTTGGAGGTGGGTGGTGATGACTAACTGCCTTCCCTCTTGTCTTTCACTGCTAAATTATGGACGGCTAACGCAGATATCCTTCGTGTAGCTTTGCGCAAAATTCAAACCAAACCAAGAATACTAATATTAAGATTATTATACAATAGAGTAACATTTTACAAATGAAAATTCTGGTTCTGTTTGTTTTGCTAGTGAGGCAGCCAGTAATGTACAATTTTTTTTCTCCATGTAAAGACAAGACGGCTTAGTCTGTTATGTAATCATTAGCCGGATCAAGTGATATATCCATTTCCATCCCTGTCTTGTGTGGTTTCTTTTGTTCAAGTTCAGTAGCCAGCTCTACATAGCTTTTATATTTAGCAATAAATTGCTTTTCTAATACTTGTATATTTACTTTTTTTTTATAAGATGGCGTACGTGGGTTACTAGGTTATAGAATGTTATCTAAAGATTTATAGCCCCCCCCCCCCCAGTGGCACAGCGGTATGTCTGCGGACTTACAACGCTAGAAACCGGTTTCGATACCCGAGGTGGGCAGAGCACAGATAGCCCTTGTGTAGCTTTGTGCATAATTAAAAACAAACAAACTAAAGATTTATAAATTTAGCATAGGATAATAATTAAATAGGTAGTCAAAGATCGTGAAGACTGTTTTCCTCTGTCATATGATGATGAAATTATAGAACTAGGTAGTCGCCAAGCCAGTTGAAGAAAGATGATGATAAACGATAATAAGAAATATTGGTTTTGGCTATTCGCCTGTTTTCGACCTTGGAACGCTCTAAATAGCTGAAAAGCGCCACATACACAGGAGATAGAGTGACTATGCTAGATAGCTAGCTCTTCATATCTAGTTACTGATGATCTGTATGTGTACTGATTTTTTTAGTCCTTCATTTCGTACATAATATAAGGGTTGGCTCCCTAAAGACACCTTTTGTATAGTGTACAAAGCATTGAGTATTCCATATGTTACAGTCATATAATTTTCATCTATTAGTGGCTGGTAATTCCTGTTTCACCCCGTACTTACGTTTTTTAAAGAAACATCAGATATCTGTGAGAAGACTAACTACAAGGGGTAATAATATGGTTTACACTAGAATTATATGTTTTTTTCGTATTTTAAAATACTGTAGAGAGTAATAAAAAATAGGTAGTCAAAGATAGTCAAAATGATGATAAAATTATTGTTACTGCTAGAACTAGGTAGGCGTTAGGCGTATTGAAGAAAGAGGATGATGAATGAAAATATGAAATCTCGGTTTTGGCTATTCGCTGGTTTTCGACTTTGGGGTGCTCCAGATAGCTGAAAAGCAGCATATGCACTGGAGATGGAGCGACTATGCCAGGTAGCTCTTCATATCTAGCTTCTGATGACCTGTAGAGAAGAAAATCCAGATGACTTTGAATTGCTTTAATATAGGTGTTCGTGCCATCCATACATAGAAAGTGCTAGTGCACTCTATAATTTAGATTTTTGTTAGAGGGGGCTAATAATGAATGATGTGCAATACGTTTAGAAAGTTTACGATGATGTAATATTCGAAAAGCTTTGTGTAATACAACTATAAATACGAGAATCAATAAAGCAGTGTGCTAATGAATTGATTCTGAACAAGAAGTAAATTTGTAATGGGTTTATGAGATGAGTTCAGTATGAGAAAAGTGAACTTGCGGAAGATTTGGAAAAGTTTTTCTAACTATCTTAGCTGGATGCTCCACGTAAAATAATAGATTTGTTGGCACCTGATCAATATATAGACTCCATAATAGAAGAGGATGTGAGAATTATTTTGAATTAAAATAGGTGTCAGTCTTTTAAGGAAGCTCTTCAATTGGCAATGGAACTTAAATTTAATAAAGTTGCAGATAAGCAGCTAAAAACAGCTTCTTAAAGTCATGGGAGTATAAGATCGAACAGAATTGATGACTCTTCAAGCCCAATCAATCAAAGGAACAATAAAGTGCCAAACAGACATAAAAAACAGAAATAGCAGGATCTAAGGTAATTTATGGTTCAATTGGTAATACTCCATCTGCTCTAGATGAGATAAGAAGTTCATTAGTTTAAGAAAACAGCCCACGGATTTACTGGTGGAAAGCCTTGCGGTATATTGATCGACACTGGTTCTAAAGCTACAATAGTTTGACCTGTTTTGGTAATGAGAGGTGAGAAATTGCACCGGAAATTAAAAAAAGAAGAAGAATAGTGTGAACAGCAAGTGTGCATAAAGTTCTAGCAAGAAGAAAATTGAAAATTACTATAGGAAACATCTCTACACCTCATGGTGTGCGCATGATAAACATCGAGGAAAAGAGCATATTGGGAACTGATTTCATGAACAGACATGGATGCGAGGTTGCTAGCTTGAAATATCTTTACAATCCAAGACCAGAAAATACCCACGTACCACATAACAATTACTACATCAGAAATTCAGCTTCCAGTGGCTACAGGGCCATTGTATCATCAAGAAGCTAAGTATTAATACCAGGATCTTCATCTAATGACTAGGGCATAATGGAACCAAACATTCTAGCATGCTCTGAGGGATTGGTGTTTGGAAGAACTGTCGTGGATTAGAAAAATAAAAATGTTATGCATGAGTTTATCCAGAAAAGGCTCAAATCAGCTAGCGATAAAATAAAAAATTACTATGTGTTAATGCCAATAAGATTGGATTTCATCGAGATGACATAGTATGGTTGTACAAACTTTCCAAAAGAAAGGAAAACTTCAAAATTAAGCAGATGTTGAGAAGGATCTTATAATGTTCTAAAAAGAACTAATGATATGGTTTGCGGAATTCAAAAAGACAGACAATCCAAGTCAAAGGTCATTCACCAGGACCGTCTTTGGAAGTACACTGAGTGGTCACAAGTAAATAGACACCTAATTTTTCGTCATTTAACTGATTTATGCT